TGGGGGTACCCAGAGCCTGCAGGGAGTTGCTCCCCTGCTGTAGACCCCCCTCCACCAGGTGCTCTGATTAAGGCCTCCATGAGTGGCCCATCTGCCTTTCTGGCCACATCTCTCCATACCCCCACCAGGACCGTGCCTCTCGAGTTAGAGCGTCTCATCACAGGAAAGAAGATAATCTATGGCCCTGGCTCAGATGCCTGCGGGGCTGGGGCGGGGGTTCCTGAGGGTGCTGTGTCCCCACCCCCAAACCTCAAGAAGGTTGTGCATTTTATTCCCCAACAGGGTACAGGCCAGGCCTTGCCAACCAGGGGTCTGCCTCCTCCCGTCCGTCTGGCTGCTTCCATCGGCCACTTCCCCGTTCCCCTCTCAACAATGCGTGGCCCAGCCTGGGCCCTGTTGGCTCCTTGCACCCAGACCAAGGCCGGACACCAGGCTGGCTGGGGTATGTGCTGCTCTTGGGGTCAAGGGGCACTGAGCACTCCTCTGCTTCTCTCCATAGAGAGGCAAGTTCTAGGCCCCCAGCCAGGCTGCAGCCTCCATAGAAGGGACTGCCTCTGCCCTGGGCGCTGGAGTCTGGTCCCAGTCATCGTTGGCTTGGGGTGGCGGTGGGGGTGGGCAGGAGCGTGGCCGGCTAGCCAGCCGGAGCAAGGAAGGAGGCAGCCCTTCGGTGCACAGGGGCCCTGGAGAGCTGTCCACGGCAAAGAACCTGTGGAGAGGGCCTGGGAGGACGGTGAATCCAGGCTGTGGCTCCAGGGTGACGAAGCCGGGCCCCTGGAGCAGGCTCCCCCGAGCCCGGATGAGAACCTTTTCCTCTGTCACCCTGTCTTGGCCCTGCCCCCATCCTCCACGCAGCCCCCCCCCCCCCACCGGCTCTTGCTTCCCCCTCCCCACTTTCCCGCTTGAGAGGTGTGCCACAAGGAAGGCTCAGGATATTTCTGCCAGCTCTATGGGGATTTTTCCGGTCTAAATTTAGAGAGCTGCTATTACCCCGCAGTACCTGCTTCCCACGTTGGTGGCTGGTCTGCATCCTGAGAGCACCCAGTGCAGAGAGAGTGGCGCAGATGTGACCACTGACCCTCCGGGCCAGCCCCTGGGCAGAGAGAGGGGGAAGAAGAGGGAGGGGGAAGGCCAGGGCCTGCTGGCCAGGAAGCTCGAGGGATCGTTCGCATCCGCTCAGAGGTGAGGGTCAGCGAGGCCTGTCCGAGAGATGCTTCGGGTGGGCAGGGGACAGCCAAGGTCCCTCGCTCAGGGTCGGGCACATTGGTCCTCTCAGAGCGGGGACTGTGATGAGTCGCTGAGTCCCTTGCAGGGCTCCTCCATGTGCCTGCAGATGGTAGGGTACCGGTGCTCAGAGCCTTCTCCCTGCGGGGAAGCGCAGAAGGACCTCAGCCACGATACCAAGCATGCGGTGAGTGCTCAGGACCTGCCAGCGTCACACCATCATCCCAGAGAGAAAGGACGGGGCCTGTGGGGACCCTGAGAGTCTGGGTTCGGCCCGGGCCACTCTGGGGTCCCATTTGACTCTGCTGTCACCAAACCTGGAGCAATGGCCCGAGACCGGTCTTCTAGCGCTGGAAGCCTCTCTTCACCGTACCTGCACCCTGGGGACAGCTGTTGGGGCTGTCGTGGAGTGGGACCATGAGGGCAACACAGAGCCCAACTTGTCAACCTGCAAGAGTCAGCTCTCGCGACCTGCTGTTGGAGATCTGGCCAGAGCCACAGGGACTATGACTGTGACCTGAGCTTCCCTGTGGCACCCCTGGCTGGAGCTGCCCGTTCTCTGCAGCCCCAGAGGAGAAAGGGGCTGTCGAGGATGGCGTCCCTTGAGGCTCTAAGCCTAAGACGACTTCCCAATCGTCAGAGCAAACTTCCTGTGCTCCACTCTCAGTGATGGCCCCATCCACGTTGGCCGGCCTACACAGGCTCTGTAGATTACAAGGGATAGAATTATCCAGAAAATATCTTCAGGAAGGGGGACATGTGGTGCCCAGAATGCTGTCTCCTTCTTAGCCAAGCCTACCCTTCCCCCATGGCTCCCATCCCTGGCCCCCAACCCCCCAGCACCAGCCTTGCCTCTGCCCAAGCCCCTAACCAGCCCTCAAAATCCGCCCACGATGCCCATGCCTTCAGAGTGACCCGGCTTTCTTCTGACCTCTGGCCTCTACCGCACCCGCCTCCCAGAGCCCAGGGCCGGTTGGCATCACTTTGCTTCACAAAGTTGTGGCTTCCTGACAAGATTTGGCCACCCTCCTGTCAAACTCCAGGGCCTATGAGATTTTCCTCCTCACCCCTCAGCCCCTGATGGCAGGTCCACTCCTGGGGCCTTGACTCTGGGCTCACGGCCTCCTTCCTGCCCTGCCAGCCCTCATCCTTAAAACGGCCCACCGAGCCCCTGCTTGTCAGTGCTCCTCCAGCGGCCCCGGCGCCATCTACACTGGGAACCCCACTCTCAGCCTCTACAGTCCCTTCCCACAATCCCCCGTGGCCGCTCCACCCCGCACCAGTCTCCTGGAGCCCAGCTCAGGTCCGTCCCTCCCAGCGGGCATCTTTGCCACCCGACCAGTCAGGTGAGAGCTTCCCATACTTCGGCCCTTCCCCGGTCAAAGCCGCCGGCAGTGGGTGTCCCAATCACCCGGTGTCCATGCTCGAGAGAGCTGGAGTCCTCCTCCTGGCCCTCAGTGGCCCGGTCTCCTATTCCCCTCAATCTCTGCCCCATATGCTGCCTGCTGAGGTGCCCTCTTAGTCAGACCCTTGGTGCCCTCCTGCTGGAACATTCTCCTCCTCTGTCCCATGCTCCTGGCCATCTGTCCCAAGTCTGTCTCAGGCATCATGGCCCTCAGTCCCCTCTATGTGTTCCTACCGGATGACCATCATCCTGGGTGATGACTATGACATCACAGTGTCTCTTGGGGGCCACACCCACAGCACCGACTGGCAACTGGCCTTTGCCACCTGAGTGCCCCATGGCCCTTCAGGTGCAGCGTGTCCCACAGGGAACCCGCTGTCTCCACTCGAGTCAGCCAAATCCCCATGACAGAGGGAATTGAACTCTGTCTCCAACCCCCTCACAGTTTCTGATAAAGAGTTTACCACTTAAAGAGCTTCAAGTGCATCACCTCTTGTCCCTGCCAGGCCCTGCCCCCTCCTCACTGTTGGAAGCCTCCAGGCTCAGCCCGCCCCCCCCCCAGCCCCGCTGCCCATGTGGAGGACGCAGCAATTATCCTGCAGCAGAGGTCGTCACATGCTCCTCCCCTAGCACCCTTCAGTGGCCCCGAGTGGCCTTGAAGACAAAGTCCACATGCTGCAGGCCACTGGCCTCCGCTGGTGGTGGCCAGAACGTACCAGAATCTTGTGTCCCTTTCCCTTATTCTAAATACGCTCACATTCTGAGGCTCCATGGAGGTGTATTTTGTGAGTCCATCCTGCAGCTCACTATGGCATGCCCTCTGTCCCCAGTTCATGTCCGGCCCATGGGCAAAATCCATTGCCACCATCCTGCCATCTGGCAAAGGCTTCGCCTGCCATGCCCACTGCCTGTCACCATCGCAATTCCCCCTCTGCCTGGCAAGGACGTACTCTCTTCCCTTTGCTGGGACCATCTGGCTCAGGCCAGCCGTGGTCTCCCAGCTCCGGACCACTGTGGCCCTTGCCTGGGAAGTCACCTCTGTGAGTTGAGAGAATGTTTGGAGGAGAGTGGCCACGTCATGTTGCGCCCAATGTGGCTCTGAGATGGGCTCAAGCATCGCGTGTAGACCCCGGGAGCTAGTGGATCCAAAAGCTTGGCTGGAATTGCTAGATGACTTCAACACGACTCCCGAAGAAAAGCAAAAAGACCAGAGCCCTGTCGTCTGAGTCCCGAGTCCCAGCAGCCGGGGTGAGGGCGGCCCACGGTGACTCCCACATCTCCCTGTCCCTTCCAGGCTTGCCAGCTTTGTGTTTCTGTTTCTTAATCAGGAGGCTCCGGGGCTCCTGCAGAAGTCGTCTAGCGATTCTAGCCAAGCCCTTGGATTGCCTGTGTCAGGCCCGGCCATCACCCTCACCGGGCTGCTTGTTAGCACTGTGCCCTTGTACCCAGAGTATTCTCTGCCTGTGGAGACCTCGCCTCCTCCTCCTCAGGTGTCATCCTGCTTCCCTCTCGCGCATCGCGGGGCTTCCCTGTCTGTCCCCTGCGCCTCTGGGCTCCAGCGCACCTGGCATCTGGCCTGGGCGCCACGGGCACTCCACAAATGTCTCCTGAATGAATGTGGTCAAGTTGGGGTGGCCGTGAAGCCCCACATAGACCTTCACAGCACCCTGCTCTGTGTCTGGCTCTAGGCTGGCCCACTGGGGGCACAGAGAGGATTGAGAACCGGATCTGCCTCTGGGAGACCCCCGCCCCCATGTGGGGCTCGCATGCCACTGTCCCAGCACTTGTCCCTGCCCAGGGCCTGCCCCCCTCCCCCTCCCTCACTCCTGGTGCGCTCCTGTGACCTTGTCCTGCCTCCAGCTGAGGACTCTGAATTCCTGGGGCGAGGCCCAGCCTGCAAACCTCTCCTCTGTGCTCTGGTGCACCCCATGGTCTACAGGCACCATTGGAGAGCTTTGGTGTCCCCCAGCCTTCGCCCCCTGCCCCTCAGCTGCCCACCCATCCCGCTTCTGCTGCCGGCAGCGGCCCAGACCCCGTGGCTGCCTCTAGCCTCGTCTTTGTTTCTGCTCAGAAGTCTGAGTGTGTGCCTGCTGGGCACAAGCTGAGGAGGAAAGTTGGGCAGGGCAGGAGGAGGATGAGCTGCCATGTGGTCCCACGGGGGGTCCCCGGGACGCCTCTGCCTTAGGTTCTGTGACCAGGCAGTCGCAGGCCTTGCTTACTGCAGAAACCAAAGACTCATGGGTGTGCTTGTCGTCTGGGAGGGACAAGAGGAGGGGTGTCCACGTGACTGCCCAGAATCCCGCTGGATGGACCCAAGGTGTGTTCAGAGAGCCTGGCTGACTCCCAGGGCTGCAGGGGGGTGGAAGGGGGCTATGCACGCGGCAAGCTGAGGGAGAAGCCTGGGTGTGCCAGCTGGTTCCTCGCCTTGGTGCTAAAACCTACGTTATCAGTAACGCTGTGGTAGCGCAGACTCGAGACCAGGGCAGTCACGTGGTATGCACGTGTGGGTGTGCACAAACCTTCACGGGACACAAATACACCTCCCGAGCCATCCAGGCAGCCTGGCAGGGAGCCTGCTAAGGTTGAGACACACACACACTCACACATGCACACGCTTATCTGTATATATTAGTGTATGTATATGCACACGCTCATATATATTAGTGTATATATGTGTGTGTGTGTATATATATATATACTTCTTATGATTTAATTGGACCATATAAGCTGTAGCCAACAAAATGGACAATAATCCAAAAGACTAAAATGTTCTAATATAACATTAATATAGGGCTTCTTGTGGGTTGAATTGGATCCCTCCATTCCTAAATTCATATGGTCCATTCCTAAACCCCTGTACCTGTGAATGTGACCTTAGTTGCAAATAGAGTTGTTGCAGACGTAATAAAGGTGTGCTCATACCACAGTGGGGTGGGCCTGTAATCTAGAATGGCTGGGGACAATGGGACACAGACCCATAGGAGAACACTGTGGGAAGCGGGAGGGAAGCAGAACTGTACAAACCAAGGGCACCACCAGCAGCTAGGGGAGACACCTGGACCAGAGCCTTCCCTAGCGCCTTCAGAAGGAGCACAGCCCAGAACTGGGAGGCAGTTAATGTCTGTTGTTCTAAGCCCCCCTGTCAGTGGCACCTTGTTACGGCCGCTCTAGCAAACTGATACAGAGCTTTTCTGTTTTCAAAATGCTTTCTCCACTCTTGTGTCATTTAAAGCTAAAATATCCCTATGAGGTAGATGGTCCTAGCATTTTACAGATGAAGAAACTAAGATTCAGGACACCTGAGTTGAGTGAGTTGCTTAGAGTAATTCAGTCAGTTTGAGGTAGACCCAGGCAGGGCTCAAGGCAACTCTTCTGATTTTAAATCTAGATTCAGTGAAACGTAAGGTGTCTAAAGTCTCCCAGCTTCCTGATGTAGCCATATTCTAATTTTACTTTAAGGTGTGTATTTCAGGGTGGGGTGGGGATAAAGTGTATATTGCTAAGATTTATTTACGTTCAGAATGTATTTGGCGGGGAGGGGCAGAGGGAGAGGGAGAGAGAATCTCCAGCAGACCCACCGCTCAGTGTGGAGCCCAATGCGGGGCTTGATCCCACGACCGTGAGATCACCAGCTGAGCTGAAATCGAGAGTCGGATGCTTAACCGACTGCGCCACTCAGGCGCCCCTAAAGGGTGTATTTCGGAATTTTGGAAGCTTTGGGCCTGACAGATATTTTTGGTTGATTGAGTCAAGGCAAACTGTCCACCCTTACTCTATGCCTTGTCTTACCTCTGATAAATTGATCTCTTTTTTGGGAGAGAAACAGTCAATCTTTTTTTGCTATAAATGTCCCTCCTCAGTATGGCTTTAGCTAAATATCACAAATTTTGCCATGTTGTAGTTTTATTTTCATTCATTTCAGTACCTTTCAAAATTTTTTCTCCAGATTTCCTCCTTGTCCCCTGGATCATTTAAAAGTGTGTTGTTTAGCTTCCGAGCTTTTTTTCTGTTAGCTTTCTGTTACTGATTTCTAGTTTGAGTCTGTTGTGCTTGGAGAACACACTCTGCATGATTCCAGTTCTTTGCAATTTAGTGCAGTTTGCCGTGGCTGCTTGTACAAGGTGGTGTTGAGTCGAGTGGTCGGTGACTGCCCATTAGATCCTGTTTGTTGCCGGTGTTGTTGAGTCCTTCTAGAGCCTTCCTGATGTTCTCTTTGGCTGTTTTGTTAATTGTTGAAGTCCCTAACTATAATCGTGGATGTGTCTATTTCTCCCTCCAGCCCTACCAGTTTTTGCTACCCAGTTAAGGGTGCCATGTCTTTTTGGTGGAATGACCCTTTACCATGAGAAGTTTTTGTTGTTCTTGAAATGAATTTTTTGATTCGACTTTTTATGCAAGTGAATTTTTTGGGATCACTTGTAGTTTTCATGTTGTAGGGGAGCAGCAGCAGAAGAAGGTCTTGGAGGGAAAGAAAACTCAATTCAGAGGAGGTCGCTTTGCTGCCTTCGGCTCTTACTAGAGCCAGAGTAAGGTACAGGAAGGGCAGCCTGCACTCCCCTCTGCCCCTCTCCGTGGAAAAGAGGGGAAGACACTGGTGAACATTCCCATCTGCTTGGAATTTCGACATAAAAGCACGGGTGGGGATGGGGGTTTTGATAAGAAAGCTTGAAGTTCCACCAAGAGGTGTTTGCAAACACATCTTATAAGCAACTAGTGGTTCTGAGTTGACAATAAAACAAGGTCCTTAGTCTATTCTTCATTTATGGCATTTCTTTAAACCTTGCTCTAAATGATAGCTTTTCCTAAATATGCATCCCAGTGTAGTAATTGATAGTTATGCTAAGAGCTTATCTGTAGGGAGGAGGCACCTAACGTGTGCCTGAACTGACTCGATTCACTTCCAGGAATATTCTAGGTCTGGGGAGAGTTTCTGAGATGGTCGCTGAGGACCCAGGAGGAAGTAGACGGCTTTCAACAAGTGATCCGCAAAATCCGGATCGGGCAGGACGGGGTGGGGGGGAAGTGCTGCAGACAGCAGGCCCCACAGTGGGGTCTTGAAGCAGGAGTTCACCAGGGGGAGCAGAGGGACCGGCAAGGCCAAGGGCGTGGAGGCATGGAAATGCTTAACCTGTTCGGGGACCTGAACACTCTTGCCCTGGGGCGCGAATGCACGTGTGTTATTGAGAGTAAAATGAGGTTGGAGGTGTAGCAGACAAGGCCCCGGGGCTGCTGTGTCAGAGGAGGGGGCTGGGGGAAGGGAGCCGCCAGAAGCTGCCGCCTTTGTTCAAGACACACCAAGGAGGTGCCCCTTCGCATTGCCTGTCACTCCTGACAAGGGCCCCTCTTAGCTGGCTGACTTTTCCCCCTCTTCTGCCAGCCTCTGGCTCTCTGTACCTTCAAAGCGGTGGGTGAGGGGAAGGCGGGCAAGGTAGGGCAGGGCCCAGCAGCCCTGGTCCCCGAGCGGTGGGGTGGGCTAGGCCCGCTGGGGGACCGAGGCCCTAAGTGCCCGGTGTCTGCCAGCTTAGTCCTCCCCTGAGAAGCTCACTTCGGGGACCAGCCACCTTCCTGGGCCAGCAGGCTGGGGATCATTCGGACAGGTCCCTTGGAGTGGTTCTCTTCCAAGATCTGGTGGCGCAGAGCGTCTCGGGGCTGCAGGGCCCAGCCTCCTTGCCTGCCAGCCACGGGGAGCAAATGATTTTCACCCGGATGTGCAGCTGTGTGCAGGTGTTTGTATATGTGTGTCCTCCCACCTTCACTCAGCCCCTCAGGGAAAGGCCCAGAGCTTTCCAGAAACCCCCAAGCAGATTACATTTGTGCTAAAGGGAGCAGGGCTTTGGGGTGCTGGGACCATTGTCCAGCCTCCAGGCAGGAGGCCTGTGTGGGTGCCTGAGGGAGGGTGTGGAGAGAAATGGAGGAAGCAATTGCAGCTGGAGCTGAATTAGACATGGAGCGGGCGGAGGAGGGCTATAGGCATCGCGGGGTGTCTCAGACGCTTGGCGAGAGTGCTTGGGTGGTGGAGGTGTGTGAGGGACCCCTCCCTTGCAAGCTGGAGGACATCGAGCCTTCCCGGAGCATTCCTGTGAGATGGTAGGTGGGTCGCGGGGCTCACGGGTTTGGGGCTTGCTGCAAGCCTGGGCTAGGCACAGGGAATTGCAGGCGGTAGGGGAGAAGGCCCCAGGGTCAGCACACCCAGCTTCCTTCCTGCCCGCCCCTTGAGGCTCCTGGCCCCTGCCCTTTCTGCTCCAGCTCCAGTCATACCTGACCTTTGCACCAAGTTGACGCACATTCCCTCTCTTCTGGTTGCGACCTTGCTTCCCCTTGACTCTGCCTCCCTGTGTGGGCAAATGCCCAGGGCTGTTGCTGTCTGGGCCTGCCCTCACTCCAGGACCCTGCCTTCCACCTGTGGCCCTTGCAGAATCCTCCCACCCACACTGGCTTTCGACCTGGTCCCGCAGGGGACCAGGGGCTGATCTGTGAACTCAGAGCTCCTGGGCATCCCCGTGCAGCAGTGCGAGGCCAGCTTAGGGCACTGCTGTGGGCCCCCCGCTGGAGTGGGCCAGCTGCCTGAGCTAGCTGGCAGAGACGTGGGCCGAGGTGCTGAATCAGGGCACCATCCCTGCCTGCAGTGGGTAAGGCCGCCTCTTTCAGAGAAGGTACCAGGCCCCCTGGCTCCAATAAGTGGGGGGCAGATGGGAGGAGAGATGGAGCAAGATAGCCTTGTGCCGATGGCTCTTGGTGCCGACTGACGTGTCCGTGGACTTTCAGGAGAAAGCCCGCTCTCCTTCTGCCCACATGACACCCACTGTGGCTCTGGGGGAGGTGCCCACTGCCTGCAGGCACTGCCTGGGCCCCTGCTCCCTGCAAAGTCCCGCACTGCTGGCGTGGACCCCTCCCTCCCCAGGGGCTCACTCATTTGCCATTGGCCGCTTGGCTTCCACCTGAACTTCTTCTCTGGGCCCCTTCCCTGCTGCAGAGTGGGCGCCTTGCTGCTGACCTGCCCTCCGTCTGCGCCTCAGCCACCTTGCCCACCCATCTGGGGCCAAGCTCAGACGAGGAGAGAAGGGAGGTAGGGATGGCCAGGCCAGCCAGATGGGGAGAGGGCCAGCTGGGGGTGCCAGGGGCTGGGGAGGAAAGCAAACCCTCACCTCTGCCAGCTCCCCACTCTTCCTTCCCAGCTCCTCCTCACGTGTCCCCCGAACACCCTCGTTCCTTTGCCTCCCTTAGGGACAAGATGCCTGCCGGGCTGGGCCCCTTTGCCTGTGGCCTCCGGGCCTGGTAGGCAGTGGCTCAGAGGCCGGTGCCCTGAGAGGGGGTCCCAGAGACCTGAGCATGGGGCAGAGAATCAGATCTGCGGGCAGCAAGAAGCCGGAGCAGGACTTCGGTGACGGGTCTCCAGGGGCCCCCCAGGCTCCAGGCGGTGGGGCTTTGAGCAGGACACCCCTTGTCCCTGGGACACTGTCAGCCATGTCCCTGATCCCCAGGCCACCCCCCCTCCCAAAGAGGGAGAGGGCACAGCAACCGTGCTTGGATGGCAGTGGCCCTTTGCGGGGGGGCTACCCAGACCATCCTCTGCCCCCTGCTCTTGCAGGGAGCATTGGGCTTCTTCATCCATTCAGCCATTCACGCGCCCAAATAGCTGTGTGATCCAAACCAAGTGACATTCGAGCAGGGGAGCCGGACGCTTGCTCAGATGAAGGGCAAGTTGCCCAAAGCCCAGGGTGCACCTGGGCCCAGGCACCGTCCCAGAGCCCCTTGGGGCCAGGATGGCTGCGGCAGGGCCCTACCTCTCTGATCCCCTGCTCTTTGGAAGCCCTAGGTGGCAACGTCCGTGCAGCCGTGCCATTCTGGGGCCAGAAGCTCTGGGCACTTGGCTTTGCGGTGAGCTTGGCTTCTTCTTCTAGGCCTGCCTGCCCCTGAGGGGAGGGGGTAGGGCTCAGACGAGCCAGCACCCCTCTGCAGGGCCGGGCTCCTGCATGGGAAGCCTTGTGGCCCTCTCCTCCTTGTGCGTCGGAATGAACGAACATTCTTTTTTTTTTTTTTTTTTTTAAAGACTTTATTTATTTGAGAGAGAGAGTAGGCTTCAGTGGGGGGTGGAGGAGGGCAGAGGTAGAGGGAGAAGCAGACTCCCCGCTGAGCAGGGAGCCCGATGCGGGACTCGATCCCAGGACCCTGAGATCTTGACCTGAGCCGAAGGCAGACGCTTATCGGCTGAGCCACCCAGGCGCCCCATGAACGAACATTCTGTGCGCTCCTCCTGCCCACAGTGCCATCACCCCGTGTCTACATGCAAACCCAACGACTTCTCAGAGAATAAACTTGTCACACTGTCCTGGGTCCCCTCTGCTATCCCCGCCCCCAGCGCAGGCCAGAGATCAGAGCTGAGGCCTCAGACAGATGGACCGATATGTGGGCTGTCAGGCCTGCAGGGAGGAGGGTCATGGACAAGGTCAGGCGCCTCGAGGACTGAAGCCATGAGGACCACTTGGTTTGGCAACATGGAGGGCACTGGCCGCCTTGGCCAGAGCTGTGTCAGAGGAGGGGTGGGTGGCAGTCGAGTGGGAGGCGGTGTGTGAGCAAGAAGGTGGTGGCTGGAGGGGAGCCCCACGGGCCCCCGTGCCTCCTTCCCCACGGTGAGTGAGGGGGCGCTGGGGGGCTGCACCTGGGCCAGTTACTGAGTGGAGGCTGACGGCCCTTGTCTCCCCGGTCAGGAACAGACCTTTTTCTCACATCCCTCTTTCTGTCACTGTGGGAATGTCTTGGGGCTGCCCTAACAGATCACCACGCCTGGGGCGGGGGGCTTAAAACAGCAGAAATGTCTTCTCTCACAGTTCTGGGGGCCAGAAGACTGAAATCAGAGTACTGGAGGGCCTCTGGAGGCTCGAAGGGAGGCTCCTTCCCACCTCTTCCAGTTTCTGGGGGTTCCGGGTGTCCTTGGGTTTGTAGACACCACTCCAATCCCTGCCTCTGTCTTCACATGACTTTCTTTCTAGTTCTTCTGTCTCTTCTAAGGCCACTGGTCGTTGGATTTAAGGTCTACCCTGGTAATCCTGGAGGAGCTCATTTCCAGATCCTTAATTTCATCACATTTGCAAAGGCCCTTTGTCTTAATAAGGTCACATTCACAGGGTCTTGGCTGTGGACATAGCTCCTGGGGACCCCCACTCACCCCACCACCCCCAGGCACCCCACTTCTGAGGACAACGGTTCATGGGGGTTCTTGGATGGCCCCAGCTGCACCATGGCTGTGCTCTACTCTGTTCTCTGCTGAAGGTCAGAAAGGGCTGGCCACTGAAGCCGCGGGCTCTGTAGCCGTTTCCCGCTCTGGCCCCAGGGAGCTGAGTGCCCTCCTCCTCCGTGTCACTGAGCCGTTGTCCAGCACGCAGCCAGATGGGAGTGCTCTCCTCGGGGTGGCTTGGCAAGTGCACAGGCCGGTGTCTGCAAGAAGGGTGGGCATTGGGGTGGGCTCGTGGAAAGGGGCTGGTGCTCCCGAGGAGGGGCTGGCCACAGATGGGAGCAAGGACAGGCCATCGGGAGAGACAGGATGAAGCGAGGGGCAAGCAGCACAGATGGGGCGGGGAGTTCGGTTTCCTCAGCACGAGAGGAGGCACAAGGGATGGCGGGAGTGGGGGCTGCAGTGTGCAGAGCAAAGGGATGATCCTCGGAGCCCGGGAGCATTTTGGGACAGGGACCAGCCGCATCCTGAGAACCATCTTGTAGGCTTCCCTCCATCCCGCCACCAGACCTTTGCACCTGAGGTTGCCCACCCCGGACGCCCTTACAGTACAGCAGACTCCAGTGCTTCCTCTGGGAGACCCGGGCTCTGCTCTCCCCGCCCCCTCTAGCTCCCCATCCTTGAAAATTATGCAGCTACATAAATGCCATTCACAGTGAAGCCATGCAAGCCATGGTTACTTTTCTTCTCTGCACAGCATTTTGTTTTCCCAGGAGTTAATAATTGTCCTTTGGCTAGCTGTTTGCTTAGCTTCCCGTGCACTTATCACTAATTCAACCCTAGACTCGTCCTGGTGTGTAAATGTTCTCTCAAGACATTCAAACACACCAGACATCCTAGTAATTTCTTCTTAGCGAAAATCTCTTGTGGCAGAGCCCTCGGACTGGCGACAGGCCGTCCAGCTGCCTGTGCCCCCGTCCCCGGCGTCTCCCCTTGCCGTGTCCCGCAGAAAGCTCCCCCATGCTGGAGCCCTCCGACCCTGCCCCCGCCACGTTGGAACTCTGTTTCCCCTCACCCCACGTTGGAGCCCTCACTTTATGGTCAATTTTCCTTTCCTTTTTTTTTTTTTAAACAATGAGCCTGTGTAAAGTTTAAAAAAATATATTTCCAAAAGAGCTAGACAGACTGGAGATCAGGAGCCTTGGCTTTGCGGCCTGGCGTGGCCTCTGCTATTTGGTGCGGCCTTGAGCGAGCCT